ACTGCTGCACTCCCCTGAGGAGACTTCAAGGTGATCGGTATTGGTGCCTGGCTTTTCCCTGCTTCTTCAGGTTCTCCTGTGGACAATAATATGATACAGGAGCTATTGAAGAACTTGGTAGCCTTATAGACTGAGAAAATCTTTAAAAGCCTCCTGGGTCTGAGCCAGTTCTAAAAAGGATCTGATTTTCTCTGTGTCTTTCTTCCTGTTTCTGTCATTGAAAGAATGGGGGAAGCTGGATTAGATGGATCAGTATGTTTACCATCTAGACACAGGTGTGAGTATTACCACAGTGGGCTGATATCTGGACTTGGGCCAGATAGGGAGGTTTGATGATAAATGAGAGGAAGGGCTGAGTGCAAGGAGCACCGAGCCAAGCAGACCTCTCAGGGTGGCAGCACAGACTTATTACCCCTCCCTGATGAGCTAACCTTCCAGACACTGCTTAAGGCTTCTCTTCCAGGCCCTAATTAAAGCTATCATCTCTGTTTTATAGCTCCTGTTTTTATCAGTTGTTTTAGATGCCATTTACAGAAACGATCGCAGTGCTTTTGAAAGGCTGACTGGAACAATCATAAAGGCATTGGACAGTCGAAGCATACATTGTCTGCTGAGTCTTTATGGAGATGATTGTCTCTATAGGAGCCATGGAGCCGTATCGTGAAGAGGTGTCAATACGCTCCCCCATTTTTTATTCAGCAGGAGAAATGAAACTCGTGCCAGCAAAAAGCAGCGATGCTCTGCAAAGAGAGTGTTACTGCTGGGATTTATCTCCTTACGTTTCATTTATCAGTGCATCTGACTTGTGTTGGGAGTCAGCATCTGTTTTCCAGCAGACCTTTCTATGGGTAAATTCACCTAATGACTAAAGTGTGGGAATCCAAAAGGAAACAGAAGGTTGTGTGTTTATTCCAATACTCTTTTCTTTGGGCAGGTCTGCCAAACATCTCACCTCCCATGTCACTGGGACGTCTCAATGGCGATGTTTAGCAGCTCGGAGCGGCTCTGGAATGAGTCAGAGCGCCTCAGATGGGATGAGAGGAATGAGACCTTGGAGGCACCATGGCAGGACGAGGGGGAGCGCAATTACTATGCCATGCTGTACTCCCTGCTTATCCTAGCTATCGTGTTTGGGAATGTGTTGGTGTGTCTGGCCGTGCTGAGGGAACGTTCCCTCCAGACAACCACCAACTACCTGGTAGTGAGCCTGGCTGTGTCTGACCTGCTTGTGGCCTCTCTGGTCATGCCCTGGGCTGTCTACCTGGAGGTGAGTGTCTACGTTTACATCCTTCAGTATCTCACGCATGTTCTTTTCAATAGCGTTTTAAAAATGTATTGTAATTACATCCATATAGAAGGATTTTCTTTACATATTTTGGGAGGTTGAATGGTCATATTTTGCACTCTTTGGCAGAGGTTTCATTCCTGCTGCTAATGTTTAGAGTAGCAGAAGCTGAATCAAACTTTTATCCATGCTGAGGTGGGATCTGACAGAAATGGAACTCATTTGCATTGGTCTGTTTTTCCCTTTGAATTTTCTTGTGAAGCATTACACCGCTTCCAGCTCTCCGCTTATTCTTCTCCACCATGCCCACACATCAACTCTTTAACCTGAATTCCAGAGAACATCACAGAGTTGCAGGGGGCAAAATGAGACGAGAAGATTTCAGGTCATTTTGTGCCCAGTGCTCTCACTCAGTTGCCCCATAACTGTTTGGGCTGATGATCTTACCCTGCTGGACAAATTCTGATGCAACGTGTTGCAACTTGCCAGCCTGCAGGGCCTTCCACAGAAATACACTGTTTGGTCTTTGTGATACTCGTCAACATGAGGCTGGGATTGGTTTGAAACAGAAGTTGATATTTGCTTTCAGTGCCAGTTTGAGCTGAAATCTCATGGATGCACATGCAGATACCCACAGCAGGACTTCCAAAGAGCAATTTAATTTTCTTCTTATCAGGAGAGCTTTAGAAGAATCTGACCTTAAAGGAAATTACAGCCAAATAGAAACCAGCTAAAGTGTTAAGGTCAAACGTTTTGCCCCTTCTAATTACACCTTGGTAGTTCATTTTTATTTATCCATGTACATTTTCTAACTATTTCAACCATTCATTTTAAGCAAGTGTTTCATCCACTCAGCTATCACTGTTTCATCATTTCTTTTCACTTGCTAACAAACTAGTTCCCATTCCTATTGGGATTACATCATTTTTAATCCTAATTGCATGTTTGCCTGCTTATGGATGTTTGTTTTTATTAATTGTTGATAATTAGTACCCTGCAATATTCCCACTAACAGCTGCAGAAGTGCCGCCTAACAGGAAATAAATCATGGAGAGCCCTGAAGCAGGGGGGAAGCAAGACATGATTAGAAATATGGAGGATGTAGACGGGATAAAATACCATTATTTAGGAGTGAATGAGTTGACATTATGAAGAGAACAGAGGAAAGTTGTGTGGAAGACAAAATAAAAAAGCTAAACTCAAAGAGGGAAAGGATGAGGGTCATTTGAGCTTATTACATGGTGACAGCTGTGTGGGTGATCCAAAGACAGTAATGATGATGAAAGTATTTTAGATAGTGATTCAGTATTTATGTAGATTATACATAATTGCTTAAGGATATATTGAATATTAAATAAGGGCGTCATCTGCTCTGTAATTGGCTGAGCCGCAGATGATAAAGAGGCTTCTGCAAACTTGTGAATTTCATTCTTATCCAACCTTTGCAGCAAAAAACCTTTTATAGTTTCTGTTCACTTTTATTTACTCCTTGCAGATTCCTCACTAGTGTAACATAGTTTTTCTGGTAATTATCGCTTTCCTTCGTGTTACTTGCTGTTCAGCAGCTCCATTAAGTATGGAGGTGCACATGACCATCAGACAACCACACTTCACTAAGGTCACTGAACGCTGCAAATTTACTTCAGGCAGGCTCGTAAGTGTGTATAGAACAACCTCCTTGAAGCTCGCAGAGACAGAGAGTGTTCCTGCAGGGCAGGCGTTTGCCAACATGAGTCCTGAAGTCCAGTTGTGTTTAATAAGCAGCCAACCTTTCGTGCCCGAATTTTGCTCAGTGTCAGCAGAAAGTGCTTTTTCTCCTGCAGTGCAGACGATTCAACAGCAGACCAACCCAAAAAAAAGTAATTACACACCTAGTGAGCAGAAGTTGACAGATTAAAGATGATTACATCCTCCGAAAGGTCAATTTAGGGCGCCATAAACCTCGACAGGGTTCAGTCATGGGTTTAATTTTCTAGCGAGCAGCTATGCTGTAAAAGCATGTGCTACTTTTTTTTTAATTTGGAGTTGGATCTCCTCATTTCAGATTCAAAGGGGAGCTTATTAAACACTGTAAAAACTTGTTATTAAAAGATATATGACACAAAAGTCCAATATTCATTATTTTAGAGTAAATTTAAAAGAATATTGTTTTTAAAAAAGGCTGGGGAGAAACGTATTAGTTCAGCATCTTAGGTAAAGACTTTCAGCTCCCAAGACTAAGCACCATCACCCTGGGAGCTGTAATCTGAAGGTCTGCGGATTAACCTGATGTAGAGGGGATGCTGATGAGCTTTTGCAGGTGTGTTCTTATGAGAAAAGTCAGTGAGCGTCGCTCTTCCTGTCCTCAGCAGGAGCTAATCATGTGCCCTTGAGCAAGTCATATTATCCTTGAATGGAGCAGCTGATCTATGACTTGTACTTGAGCAAAGTGGTTGCAATGGCAGTAATGAATGAGCGCTCACGTCTAGCACTTCATCCTAAACAATGTCGCTCAGCCTCCAAAATTATGCAACATGACTGTATAGAAACGGCTCCATTTGTAAAGTGGAGGCTATATTCTCTTTTTAGGGTAGTCAGGTGTTAAATGAGCTGGTTCATATATAGCACTTTTATACTCGAGCACTCGGAGCGCTTTGTACGACTTGCCTCATTCACACAAGCACTTTTTATACACCTTTATATCTAACATTGACACTCCAATGAATGCATCGGAGCAACTTTGGCATGCAGATTAGCAGTCAGGAATTGAACTACCAACGTCTGATCTAGTCTTATAATTAACCTGTGCATTCTCAGTAAAAACCATACAGTACTTTACAAGTCATATCTGTTAGGGCACCTGGGTTGTTGACCCAGTGTTTTGAGTTTTTTATTATTATTGAACTTTGATTTTGTCATTATTTATATTTCTAGTATTTTGGTTTCTATGTTAGCGTTCTTAGTCTCCTGGTTTCTGTCTCTGCTTCATGGTTCCTCTGTCTCCCCTGTCACCTGTATCCCCTTGTTGCGTCTCTGTGTTATGTTTCCTGTTTCACTTTGAAAGTCCGTGTCTCATGTCAGTGTTTCTAGCTTTGTTTTCCTTGTCTATTGAGGTCTGATTTGTCCCAGCTATGTTTCCCTCCCATCTCCCATTCCCTAATTGCGCCCTCTGTGTATTTAAGTCCTGTGTTTTCCTTGGTCTCTGTCGCAATCTCCATCATCTCTTACTGTGTGTTCTGTCTGTCAGCCTGCATACCTTGTTTAGTTTATTTTTATTTTCAGTTCAGTTATTTTTTGCCATCCTGCAGTAAAGCTGTGTTTGAATTCACCTTTTTGCCTCCATGAGTCTGTACTTTGGGTCCACCATTACTGCCTACCGCACACAAACATGACAACATCATCCCTGGATCGATGACTTGTAATCGATGACACCTGTTCAGCTGCTCATTAGTACAAATATGTAATCAGCCAATCACATGTATTACTTTCAAAGCATTTAGGTACGTAGACATGGTCAAGATGACCTGCTGAAGTTTGAGCATCAGAATGGGGAAGAAAAGTAATTTAAGTAACTTTGAATGTGGCATAGTTGTTGGTTCGTGTCTCAGAAACTGCTCATCTGCTGGGATCTTCACACACGACCATCTCTGAGGTTTACCAACCTTGAAGCAGATGAACTACAGCAGCAGAAGACCACACCAGGTGAAAGTGAGGCTACAATTCACATGGGATCAAGAGGCGAGATAATAGTTGACTGGAAAAACATAACATTGGCTGGCCTGATGAATCTCAGTTTCTGCTGCAACATCTCAGATGGGAGGATCAGAATCTGTCTTAAACAACATGAAGACATGGATCCATCCTATCTTGTATCAACCGTTCAGGGTGCTGCTATTTTAATGGTGTGGAGGATATTTTCTCGGCATACTTTGGACCACTCTGTGCCAATTCAGCATAACTTCATTACCACAGCCTACCTGAGTATTGTTGCTGAACATGTTCATGCCATTATGACCACAGTGTACCCATCTTCTGATGGCAGCATTAAGCAGCATAACGTATTATTACACAAAGCTCAGATCATCCCAAACTGGTTTCTCGAACATGACCATGACTTCACTGTATTCAACTGGCCTCCACAGTCACCAGGTCTCAATCCAATAAAAGAGCTTTAGTATGTGGTGGAACAGGAGATTCATATCAAGCTCACGGTCAATAGTTGAAAACATGGTTTCTACTTCTCACTGGGTGGTGGCTTTATTTGCCTGATTTTTGTTCTGGTCTCACACACTTATTAAAATAAATTAGAGTCCTCTTCCATTATGTTGCAGTGCTGTTTACATGCATAAACATAGTGTGTGTAGAGCCTTTATTTATTGGAAATGTATTTAATTGGGGCCACAAAGATTTAAAGCATGATCTAGGTTCTTTATTTCTATAAACAGCTAGTTCTTGGTTAGTGTTTGGGCTTAAAATCAAGATGATAAAGGTGTCACAGCAATTTGCTTGAATAGATGCAGGCATTCATGACTCAGTATGATGAGGCCCAATTCCAAGCAATTTACTGAAAGCATAAAGATTATCACTGTTAATGAAGGTACATAAAACACTACATTGCAATGTTGCATTTCAAGCAACAACTGTGGAAAAAGACTTCCAGGAAACGGTGTCTCATGTGAGCACACTAAATACTTACAAATTGAAGAGAAACAGTATGTAGTTTCAAACTGGTACACAACGCAAAGCTGTTCTTCAATTTTCACACTCTTAGTTTGTGGAAGAATTTGTGTTGAAACTTTGTTATCTTAGTAGCAATCATAACCACAATGGCATCATTGTGCCGTCGTCATTAGATAATTATCTGAGACCTGACAAAATTCCCCCCGAGCCTCCTGAGAGAAGACTTTATTCAACAGAAAGCAACTGATGTTAGTGTGTGAAGTTTGACAGAATGCCTTCTTTGAGATGAAATTTGGATTTCCACGTGTCGAAAAAGGTTATGACGACGTTAGGTTAAGCAGGTTAGGCATGTGAAATTTTTCTGAATTAGAACGTGTGACACCTCTGGTGTAGAAAAAAATAGCAAAAAGAAGCTAATTTGACCTATTTACATACTTGTATGTGTATGTGCATGTGTGCCTGCTGCCTCTCTGTGTAGGTAGGCATATATTCACATGCTGGATTTGAGAGATTCAGTAGTGAGGCAATGCTGCTTGGATCCCATTTATTTCTGTCAGACAGTTATTACCAGGTATTATGGTGCCTAAGTGAAAGCCTGTCGACTTGAGTAAGACTCTGGGGAGGAAGAGGTGGGGGTACTGGTGTGTTAACTGGAGGCTTATGCCCTTTGTGAAAAAAAGTCTGACAAATACCTTCAGTGTAATTAAACCTTGCATTTAGATGGGCACCCTCCTTCGGCTTATTTCCATGCCACTCATCACGGCACTGGAATAACAGGACTTTTTGTACTTGAGTACTTCAGATTACCTCGCTACAAATCTGAAACACTATATCATAACATAAACACACATTAATAAACCAAAGTGATATCCCGGTAGTCACAAACGCCCAACTTCAGTGTGTCAGGGTTAATATGTGACTCATGCTGGCAGCTCAGACTTGATTTTCTTTATGTAATTTGGGCCAAAGTGCCTCTTGTGTGCCCTTTTTTTCCCTTCTTCACGAAACCTTTTTGTCACCTGCGCTGCACTTCACACTTGACTGTGAAGAAGGGCAAGAAAAGGAGGGGGAAACGTGAGTGTCGTTAATCTGCCTGTCTGTCCTTTGCAGGTGGTCGGCGGAGCCTGGCTTTTCAGCCGGCTCTACTGTAACATCTTTGTCACGCTGGATGTGATGATGTGCACCGCCAGTATTCTCAACCTGTGCGCTATCAGCATTGACAGGTGAGTGCGAGTGTGTGTGTGTGTCTTTATCTTTTTGCTGCAGTTACTATGTATGACTACAGATGTTGCCATGACATCTCCAGTGTAAATGTCATCTCTGTTAGACTTTTTTTCCATCACCTCGCCACGTAGACGTTTCAAAGCTCGCTGAAGGATTAAAATATTTTCCCCATCTTGCTCGTATCTTCTTGATAGTTGTGTGTCTGTGTGTGCATCTCAGTGTGCAAGTTTCTCACAACGAGAGACAGTGAGAAAGTAACAGGAGTGAGCATGTGCATGCAGGCCAGGTGTTTTTAGATTTTTGGCTAATTGCTGAGAAGATGTTTATGCCATTACACAGGAAAATGTCAAGCACGAGGACCTCGAACCTCTCCTGCAGCATCTGGTGTTTACATCATTATTTGCGTAGGTTTTGTTCTTGTATCAAAGTGAACATTTAATATCTCTAAAGGGTCTTTGAACTTGGAACCCCACAGGCATCAAGGGTTCAACTGCACAGGATGAATACACTGATGCATAAGAACTCTCGGGGGAATATATTTGCTCAGCCTGTATGGAGAAGGGAGTGTTTGCCTTTCTCTGCAGCGAATACGACTGCAGGGGAAAATGAGCGCTTTCATGAGTTTGCATGACAGTAAATGTTTTATAAGTCCCAGTTTCACTGTGTGTGACTCTGAGTTTTTGGTATTATTTCAAATACATTCATTTGCCACAATAACAAACAAGGTTCTCCTGCAGTATTTGTTGTGGGGTTTTAACACATTGCTATTACTCTTGATTTGTTACTCATTATATTACTTTATATTGCATCATTGCCTAAGATACAGCTACAGCTAACTTAGAATCGCCAATAAATTAACATGGATGTATTTGGACCATGGAAGAAAGCTGCTAGAGAAAACTCACATGGGCACAGGATGAACATGCCAACTCCACAGAAAAAGACCCAACAAACAAGCAGATCTGAACCACTCTGCCAGATAATGAGGAAACGTGAAACCAGAGTGGTGGCCACATATCAACAAGAATCTCTGTCCAAGCAAGAGCCGTCAAAGACCACATTTCCTCCAGAGCTGAGAACTCCCTCCACAAAGCGAGTCCCTGGACGAAGGATCTCTGGCTCCAGCTTAGATTTCCTCAAGAACATCAAAACGATATCTGCCAATTTTTGTTACATCAATATGATAAGCATTTGTGAGGATATAATGGGAAACGGCCCTACCTCACAGTGGTGAAGACTGCTTCCAAAGAGTCCTCCTTTGGATCGACTCCAAAAGTGAATCAGTCCTAAGTTGGGCCAGGGCCCAAAACGTCAATGCAAATCTGTTCAGAATTTTTTTTTTTGAGTAGATTGGACAAAAAATAAACATAAAAAATCCAATCCCACAACCCCCTTGGCGGAGGTTATGAAAAGTAAAATATAACATTCTTACACTTAATTTTAGTGGTGATATTTTTATAATGCCAGCGAGAAAATGCTCACAGTGTGGTGGGAGTTTCTTTTAGTCAAAAACCTACAGAGAAATCTGCAGCTTTGATCACTTAGAGAGCTTATTGTGAGAGTTTGTCATTTGCTAACTATTCCAAAGACACTTGCTACTGGTTCTTGGTTTATTAACAATGAAATAATCAGATATAAATAACCAAACTTCCATAATGAAGCGCCGAGTGTAAAGAATAATAATAATGCAAATGCAAATAATGCGAATGCTTGAGGTAGATAGTAATGAATTCTATTGAACTGCAGGTGCAGTTGAAACTGCAAACAAACACTAGTTAGACTTCAGAAATAACTTGTCCAAAAGCAAAAGAACAATGAAGACAGCACACAAAATAGAAAACAAGAATCTAAAAAAAAAAACTCAAACTCATAACCCTGAGTCCAAAATCCAGAACAATAGCAAAAAGAAAAAATCATGCTCTGTCAATGCTATGTTCGTGAAATGTGTCTCCTGTCAGAAGTGGCCAAGAAATCATTATAAATGAATTAATAAACAACAAAACCAACAATGAGAATCCGGGTTTAATGAGGCAACATGGCACAACAGAAATGCCATGGAGTTCTGAGGCCAAAAAAGGGCAGTGGCCCCAATTCCAGAGCTTCTAAACATGTTAATCTGGCAGAGATTGTATCCTGTAAAA